ATAAGTGGATTAAATATTATGTTGTATTATTATTTATTTAATCGAGTTTAATATTTTATTTGATAGATAAATTTGATTCCGTATTAATTTCTAAAACATATATTTATCGTATATTTTTACTACTATAGACCTACATTGTAGAAGTATTTTAATACCACTAGGCGAGATGATATTATAATTCAACTCAAATGTATTATTATACACATTTACTATTATAACCCCACAATTGATAAAATCAAGTTGTCATCTACATAATAAACACTTTGATACACTAATTAAAGCTATTTTTGTTAATTCAATATTAATACAATGTAATAATTTTCTAACCAAATAACCGATTAGATTAAATAATTATTATCCAACGTTTATATTATATTTTATTAAATATTAAATAAAATTACGTATTATTCTAATAGCTGCATAATCTCCTCAAACATGTAGGATGATTTATCATAAACATGAAACCTCTAATGTTAATTCAAGTCCAACGTGTTGTCTCGCTTTGAAAGTTTCAAAAAACCATGGTGACTCATCCCTCTCTTTTGTTTATTTCTTCTTTGTTTGCATTTCTCACTTTTTTTGTTGACAGAAAACTTCATTGGGGATGATTTTCAATTATCTTAATATTAAATTGTCTATGATGGAGTTTGCTATATAGAAATCGATTTTTCACTTGTAGACAATAGTTTTTTTTTTTAATTTAATGTATAGTTTAATTAAGATGAAATAATTAGAGGAAAAATCAAAGATAGAGAAAAGGACCATGTCATCAATTTTTCCCATTGTCAAGAGTAAGAAATAATAAAAAAAAATATTGACTTAATGAATATGTATTTATTTTTTTTTGTTTTGCAAGTAGATATGGTTACAATATTGAAAAAAAAATTAATATTATATCAAAATTGATCTATAGTAGTTGATTTTTACTTGATTCTCTATTAACAAAAATAAAATATATAAATTAAAATATTTTTGATACCATAGTTGGATCCTTTCTAAAAATATCTTCTTAAATTGTTGTTCCTCAAATTCATCATTCTTTTTTTTGTCCCCTAATCTTTGTATGAAAACACTCCCACGGGTAGATAATCGAACTGAGTCTGCTGAACTCGGTTTTTCAAGTAAGCATAAAAAATTATTTAAGCTTTACTCGTTTAAAAAACAAAATTTATTTAGGAAAAGAGTCAAATTCAAAACGAATTTGGGCAACTCGATATTTTACATATAAATTACCGGAACTTTACGATTATGGCTTGTTTACAATTTGTTGGCTCGTTAAACGGGTAAAGCCTGAATTGAGCAGAACGCGAGTATTTCGATTAGATCAGTCCTAACCAAAAAAAAAAGACAAACTTCATTTTACCCCGTTACAATTTAATTCATTTGCATATTACCTCTATNATTCAATATCTTTGGTTGTAAGATTATCTCTCATCCATGTGACCGATACATCCCCGATTTGCTTATTAAAATTCAACTCATTTACCTTTTTGAATATCCTAATTGAATTTTGTGTACAACACATTTTTTTAATACATATAGGGTTTGTTTGGTAAACACGTTATAAGTGGATTAAATATTATGTTGTATTATTATTTATTTAATCGAGTTTAATATTTTATTTGATAGATAAATTTGATTCCGTATTAATTTCTAAAACATATATTTATCGTATATTTTTACTACTATAGACCTACATTGTAGAAGTATTTTAATACCACTAGGCGAGATGATATTATAATTCAACTCAAATGTATTATTATACACATTTACTATTATAACCCCACAATTGATAAAATCAAGTTGTCATCTACATAATAAACACTTTGATACACTAATTAAAGCTATTTTTGTTAATTCAATATTAATACAATGTAATAATTTTCTAACCNCCATCCTCTCTTCTTCGACAAACACAACCCTGTATCTTTCTTCTCCCTTACTCCTTTATACCAAAAATCATAAATCCAACATCCCAATTCCAGAATAAAAAATCGAAACTGTAAAGGAAATAAATCAAAGATTCAATCCAGAAATCAATCCTCAAAAATTGATTTTTTTCTTCACTGAAAATGAACCAAATTAAAACCAGAATCCCTAATGACAACCAATATCAAACAAAAACTGAAACTAAATCACAAACCAAAATCCGAATCGAACAATTGGATGGGAAAGGTGACAGTGCATTTTAGTCCTAATGCATGGAAAGATAGTTAGAAGAATGAAAAGTTTGAGAGATGAATAAAACATCATGTTTTGATAAGGAAGGATAAAAAAGTGGATGAATTAACTTTCATTCCAATTTATCAAAATCAATCCCTCCAAAATCGAAAGAAAAGTGGATGAAAAGTTAATTATTTGTGTTGAGATGCATCTTATCTGTCTATATATATTATGTATACATTAATTTCATATAAAAATACAATGATAAAATATGTATATATATATAATAAATTTAAAAATAAAAAAAAAATTCATCTTAACTAGGGGTGAAATTTTTTAACTTAACACGATGACACGAATCGAACTTGACATAAATTTTATGATATGAACTTGAAAATAACCTGACACTCGAACAAAAAATATAAAAGACTCATAATTTTATGATTCAACATAAATCTGACACGACACGATTTGATTGTCACCCCTAATTATAGTCAGCACAAAATTTTTTTAAAAAAAAATAATTATTTTTATTTTTCATCCATCTAACCAAATACAAAAAAAGAAAAATGTATCACATCTATTTTTCATTTTTAAAAATTAGAAAGTATATCCCTCCTATTTTTAATTTTTCCTACNTTAATTAAGATGAAATAATTAGAGGAAAAATCAAAGATAGAGAAAAGGACCATGTCATCAATTTTTCCCATTGTCAAGAGTAAGAAATAATAAAAAAAAATATTGACTTAATGAATATGTATTTATTTTTTTTTGTTTTGCAAGTAGATATGGTTACAATATTGAAAAAAAAATTAATATTATATCAAAATTGATCTATAGTAGTTGATTTTTACTTGATTCTCTATTAACAAAAATAAAATATATAAATTAAAATATTTTTGATACCATAGTTGGATCCTTTCTAAAAATATCTTCTTAAATTGTTGTTCCTCAAATTCATCGTTCTTTTTTTTGTCCCCTAATCTTTGTATGAAAACACTCCCACGGGTAAATAATCGAACTGAGTCTGTTGAACTCGGTTTTTCAAGTAAGCATAAAAAATTATTTAAGCTTTACTCGTTTAAAAAACAAAATTTATTTAGGAAAAGAGTCAAATTCAAAACGAATTTGGGCAACTCGATATTTTACATATAAATTACCGGAACTTTACGATTATGGCTTGTTTACAATTTGTTGGCTCGTAAAACGGGTAAAGCCTGAATTTGCAGAACGCGAGTATTTCGATTAGATCAGTCCTAACCAAAAAAAAAAAGACAAACTTCATTTTACCCCGTTACAATTTAATTCATTTGCATATTACCTCTACGAGGTTTTAAAATAGCACACAACCCCCTTGTGGTTGTGGAACTAAAATAAACAATGAACTCTGTTAACGAAAAAAGTTAAAATGACCTAAATACCCCTTTCCTTCTTCTCCGACCAACCATCCTCTCTTCTTCGACAAACACAACCCTGTATCTTTCTTCTCCCTTACTCCTTTATACCAAAAATCATAAATCCAACATCCCAATTCCAGAATAAAAAATCGAAACTGTAAAGGAAATAAATCAAAGATTCAATCCAGAAATCAATCCTCAAAAATTGATTTTTTTCTTCACTGAAAATGAACCAAATTAAAACCAGAATCCCTAATGACAACCAATATCAAACAAAAACTGAAACTAAATCACAAACCAAAATCCGAATCGAACAATTGGATGGGAAAGGTAACAGTGCATTTTAGTCCTAATGCTCCGTTTGGTATAATGGAAAGATAGTTAGAAGAATGAAAAGTTTGAGAGATGAATAAAACATTATGTTTTGATAAGGAAGGATAAAAAAGTGGATGAATTAACTTTCATTCCAATTCNAGTTTTTTTTTTTTGATCAGAGACTTTTTCACAAGTTTAACTGCGTAGATTTATTATCATATTCTATGATGAGTACAAATCTAAGTACAATTATTCATATTGATATTGAGGTACTAGCAGATGCGGAGCCAGAATTTTGATTCAGGGTGGGCCAAAACATACAAAGAAACTTCACCAATTAATGNATTATGTTTTGATAAGGAAGGATAAAAAAGTGGATGAATTAACTTTCATTCCAATTCATCAAAATCAATCCCTCCAAAATCGAAAGAAAAGTGGATGAAAAGTTAATTATTTGTGTTGAGATGCATCTTATCTGTCTATATATATTATGTATACATTAATTTCATATAAAAATACAATGATAAAATATGTGTATATATATATATATATAATAAATTTAAAAATAAAAAAAAATTTCATCTTAACTAGGGGTAAAAATTTTTAACTTAACACAATGACACGAATCGAACTTGACATAAATTTTATGATATGAACTTGAAAATAACTTGACACTCGAACAAAAAATATAAAAGACTCATAATTTTGTGATTCAACATGAATCTGACACGACACGATTTGATTGTCACCCCTAATTATAGTCAGCACAAAATTTTTTTTTTAAAAAAATAGTTATTTTTATTTTTCATCCATCTAACCAAACACAAAAAAAGAAAAATGTATCACATCTATTTTTCATTTTAAAAATTAAAAAGTATATCTCTCCTATTTTTAATCCTTCTCACCGAAGGAAGTTTAAGGGAGTTATGTGCTATTTTAAAAATTTTGGGGATGTGCAAATTAGTTAAACTACAAAAGGATAAAGATTGTTCGACAAAAATTCTCTCTCTGTAATTTAAGCTGAAAACAGGGGCTTTCATGTCATCTTACATTCACGCAGATCTCCAGAACAGCCTCCACGTATTATACATCGAGCATGTCTCCAATCCCCAATGTCCATTTCTACTTTTCTAGTCTATAGTGTCCGGTGGATCACTCTCAAAATCACCTTCACAAAGTCAGAAGCTCCCTCTGAGACTGGTGAATACCCTATCCAATGGCGAAGAAGAACGTCCTTCTACTATGTGGCGATTACGTCGAAGACTATGAGGTAACTTTCATCTCCTAGCCCTCCTTCTATACTCTATATGAGAGAGAGAGAGTGGTCATAGTGCTTGCGTTCAGGAGTGTTTATGGCGTGATTTTATTGCAGGTCATGGTACCGTTTCAAGCATTACAAGCATACGGAGTCTCCGTCGACGCTGTTTGCCCCGGAAAGAAAGCCGGAGAAATTTGTCGAACAGCTATTCATCAAAATTCTGATCATCAGGTCCTTTTTTTCTATCCCTAGATATACTGCTTAAGCTTATGTATTTGTACTTTTCGATATGGAGGTGAATTATATACTTCAAAGCAAATCTCTGATAATCTAAAATATCATATGCGAAGCACTTTCACATTTTTAATGACTTAAATGCATTTTGTTGAAATTTGAATTCTGAATTTTTCAGTAGTTTTTTTTTTTTGATCAGAGACTTTTTCACAAGTTTAACTGCGTAGATTTATTATCATATTCTATGATGAGTACAAATCTAAGTACAATTATTCATATTGATATTGAGGTACTAGCAGATGCGGAGCCAGAATTTTGATTCAGGGTGGGCCAAAACATACAAAGAAACTTCACCAATTAATGTAAGCTATTAAAGTTTTGGACACCTAAATAAGTATGTAACCAAAAAAAAAAAAAAAGATGCAATATTTTTAGTCCACAAATAAATTGTCATTAAATTTATTCAAAATCCTATTTTTGACAACATACGTAGCCAAAAATGATCTCCATACCGGGTATCAATGCTTTTAATGATCATTGAAATTAAGCCATAGCTCAATGTATTTTTTAACTTGGTCAAGAAATGGGTGAATAAGAAATCGATGAAGTTAGACTTTTATGGCAATCACCAAACAATTCTACATGCTTGGGCCAGAAAAAGAAAGGTGAAATTTAATGGGGGCACTAATTGAAAATATCATTAGTGTCTTGTATATGCAATAACACTTATATGGGCTAATCCAGATCGTAATGGGGCACTTGCCCACCCTAGTCTCATAGTAGCTCTGCCACTGGGTACTAGAAATAATACCTCGTGCCTAAAGAGATTCTATGATACCAAAAAGAAAGTATTGATTAAAAAAATTTTATATTTTAAATAATAATTTTTTTATTTAATTACGCAATTTAAAATTAAAGTAAAAGGAGAGAAAATAGGAGAGGAGGGAGAGGTAAACGTGGATTAGTGGGGTTTTTTAGTGTTGGGGAGTGTGTTTGTTAAGTTGTCTGATATTGGAAGCCGTATAGAGAAGATGATTTTTTTGTACGGGAAAAAAAAATTGGGATGAATTTTGTACCATTAGACTAAAGTAGATGAAAATTGGATCAGTCTTAACCTTTGTTGTGTTTTTATAAGTTGAGAATTTAACTTCCTAGCTGTAATATTAGACAATAATTAAAGTAGATGAGAATTAAATAAATCTGAGCCGTCCTTCGGGTTAAAAGACCTTTTGGATTTCCATATTGTTGCTTTTTGTACCTATGTTGAGACCTAATAGAGAGATGCATTGTGCCCTTTGGATTGATGGTAGACTTTATTTGATGTTGGGTCACAACGCATTACATGCTCAAATTAGGCCCCAAATTAAGTCCTAATAGCACTGCACTTTACAATTATTTGTCAGATAGATTTCAGCCATAAAAAATGAAGGAAAATTGGTAAAACTGCTGAAGAATAGCTGTTAGCCATATTTTTATTCAAACGAGTATGATCACGGGAAAATTTCTGCAAATAGATTGCAATGAGTCATACGATATCCTATTTGAATCTTCTTTTGCATTAGAATTGCTCTCTTTTCATGATTGGGTTTTAAGTTCAGGGCACGAGGTGGTATAGTTATTATATTTAAAGCTACAAAGAAAAATTAGTGTTTGGTTGCTTTGAAGCTAACAAGCAAACAAGTAATCTTTCCAAATGAAGAAGTTTTTGCCTTTTTGGTTTGTTTTGTTTGCTCTATTTCTGAAATCATCGGCCCATTAATAGTTCTAAACATACGCAGGTATAAATGTATATTATTTATAGACCAGGACACGCATATTGTCTGGAAAAGTAGTCGTCAAACCTGATTTAACTTTCTTTTAGGAATCCATTACTAAGCAATGCCTAAACTTTATCACTTCAAGCTTGTGCGGACAGTAATTGAAAATAGGGTGAAATTCCAATTCTATTGGTGCTTCCACACATTTGTAGTTGGATAAGTGCAATTAGCTTCTTCTGAATATTCTAGTCCACCAAAATCTGAGTGTTGTCAAAGGGGTATGGCTTTCTCATATGGAATAAAACATAAACAGGTTACCTTCTGCTAGTCTCTTTTTTTTTTTCCTCTAATCTTTCTGAGAATTATGTTTTCTCTCCATCTTTATGTCTTTTTAGATCACTTAAATCCTTATTATAATCATGGGAGCAGTATGAGAAAAAAATTTCACTGTTCAAACAGGAAGGTTTAAACTTCAAAGTTAAGGGCAGTGTAGATGGCTTAACATGTCATTATGTCACATGCGTGTTTTGATAGGAAAGTTAACTATCCGNATCATGGGAGCAGTATGAGAAAAAAATTTCACTGTTCAAACAGGAAGGTTTAAACTTAAGTTAAGGGCAGTGTAGATGGCTTAACATGTCATTATGTCACATGCGTGTTTTGATAGGAAAGTTAACTATCCGTTCTAATTTTTTTTGCTTAGTCGCAGATTTTAGGTCAGGTATCTAAAATCTAACTATAACAATGGTTGTGATGAATATTGCTAGGAGGCTTGTCAGATGGAGGGCTATTACTGGCTATTAGCCAGTTTTAAGCATCTTTATGGGTTTCGTTCAGTGACCTTGCATCTGTCTCTGTGAGAACTTCTTTCTTTCTTCTTAGTCCACAGCGTAATTCATTATCCCTTTATCAATGATCACAGACCTACTCTGAGTCGCGAGGTCACAACTTCACTCTCAATGCGACGTTTGATGAGATTGAAGTTAGCAAATATGATGGACTGGTAATACCAGGAGGACGTGCTCCAGAATATCTTGCCATGAATGAATCTGTCACTGACTTGGTGAAGGAATTTTCCAGCTCTGGCAAGCCAATTGCCTCTATTTGCCATGGGCAACTGATCTTGGCTGCTGCAGGATCGGTAAAAGGTCGGAAGTGCACTGCCTTTCCTGCTGTGAAACCAGTACTCATTGATGCAGGAACTCATTGGGTAGAACCAGAGACCATGGCATCTTGCACTGTTGATGGCAATCTCATAACTGGAGCAACATATGATGGGCATCCTGAATTCATCCGGCTTTTTATCAAGGCACTAGGAGGCAACATAACTGGTTCTGATAAACGGATTCTATTCCTCTGCGGGGTAAGTTCTAAACTTCTAATCCTCTTGGGTAAGTGACTGTTCAAGCAAGGAAAAGTGGACTTGGTGACCTGTAGTGTAAATTTTTCTCGACATGGGATTTTGAGGCAAGACCACATTGGACTCATCTCTACAAAGTAATCCTCATATACTTGCAATCACTTAGTAACCAAGTACCATAAACCATAAGTATATGTCAAACCCAATGAACTCAAGGCATCCAAGTTCATGGCCCATCAAAAAGTGAAGTCAATACCGCTGGGCTATCCATACTGGTTAACCTGTTCAAATTTGAATTTATTGTCTTCTGATTTTTTTTCCTCTACATTTCACNACCGCTGGGCTATCCATACTGGTTAACCTGTTCAAATTTGAATTTATTGTCTTCTGAGTTTTTTTCCTCTACATTTCACAGAGAAATCTGATTACATAAATTAGTAGTACAGCATTTCTCAATTGGAACACGAAGTGCTATAGAATGTCCCAGTGAAGGCAAAATGGATGCAAGTGCATCAGAATCGGTAGATGGTGATAGGCTCATTAAAGTCGGCCATAACAGCTCACGAGATTTGGCTTAATAGGTTTAGCAGACTGAGGAATAAACAAAAAACACACCAAAATACCTGAAAATGACACTTTACTAAAAAATTACTTTAATTATTCTTGAATACTTGCTCTTTGTTATGCCATCAAGATATCCCGTGGCAAAAAATGTGCAAAACTATGATTGCTAGAAATGTTTTTCTTGGACAGCCATATCCACTCTACGATGTTCTGAACTTCTGAATATCGTTGTGGCATCCACTCATGCTTCATTTTTCCTTTTGTGTGCAACTATTCATTTGCATGCCATTAGCAAAAATATTTCTATGTACTGTTTGCGTGAGTGTGTGACAATGAGCATTGCTGTGACAGTCTGTCTGCTACATTATTGTGACAAGATTCATATTTTTTTAAAAATCCTTGGTATTTATCACCTCTATCACATTGGGGCACTAGTATAACCAAATTGAGCTTTCTAACTTTAACCAGTTTTAACTTCAGACCCATATGTGGCATTAACAAATGTGATATATGTTTTTCAATCGGAATTTCATTCTCCAGCACTGATTATAGTGTTCCATCCTTTGCAACATGTGACCAAACTTTAACCAGTTTTAACTTCATACCCATATGTGGCATTAATAAATGTGATATATGTTTTTCAATCGGAATTTCATTCTCAAGCACTGATTATGGTGTTCCATCCTTCGCAACATGTAACCACTGTTGATGGTTTTGTGGAAAAAAAAAAGAGAATCATCTGGGAAGGTTCATCATGTAGAAACACGTTTGGAGTTTTGAAATTTTGAACTTCAAAATGTCTGTTTCGCTTGCATAGACGGATTGTTTGTCACACAAATAAATTGCCTTTCTATGTGTCATACTTATTCATGATGAATTTGTTGGTATAAAATATGAAATAGGTTGTTTTGTATAGTGGTGGTGATATGCAGTTACTTTCCTCAATTTGCTACTGCAAGCTGGAAGGGTTTGAACTTTAAAAAACTGCTTGGGCATGAGATTAGCTAAGTGTGCTCTTTATAAATAGGTGGATGTTTAGTTGGGCCCCAAATCAATTATCCAAAGCTTGGTTGCTTCCTTTGGCCTTCTTGAAAGTTAAAAGTACATAGGTTCAATGGAGGAGATCTTTTTGGGAAGCAGACTGTAAATATGAAAACTAGTGAAGGAACTGCCATGGGGAATCATGAGATAAAGCGGAGTGAGATCACTCCTCTTGAGATAAAGATGTATCTTAGATTGTTTGTTTTTGTAACCTAGCAAATAAATAATTCCTCGTGGACATATATCCAATACCGTAGATTTAAGTGTGTAGAAATCTCAGTGTTCAATTTTTTAATCAGTCTACCTTAGCAATGTTAAAAACTTGAAGCGTTTTATGGCCTTATTTTCACCTCTAAATTGACCTCCATGCATCTAAAATCTTTAAATGCATAAACTATATTCCAAATTAAGTTTCTGATTTATATTTTTTTGTTTGTTATTTGTAAGGTTGTGGAAACCATACAAGAAAGATTAAGAACTAAATGATTTTGGCCCTTCAAAAATTTCCTATTCACTGGTCGTCTTAAATTAATTCGTTTACTAATAATTTGTGTCATGAAGGTGCTCCCTAGCAGTTTGATTATGATTCTTTGATGTGTGGTAAAATTTTTCACATGGGTAGTTCCTTTCCATAATCCGACACCACATTGTGCTTTTGGAGCAATGGTGTCACAAAATTCGCATGGGAGATGGGACACCTAATAGTCAATATTTGAAAATTGGGCTTTGATTTATGTCCTTTCAAAAGATTCAGTTTCTTACAGCTAGATTGATGAAGTCGATTCTAGTTTTATTTGACAGAGTTGATGTTTGTCTGGCAAACATTGTCTATAGGGCACTTCCCATTTTCTCTAATCCATGTCAAATGTGAGCAACGTTTTTTGTGTAAACTGGGAATTTCGTTGTATTATGCTAAGTATAGACTGGGCTACCCTAGTCTATAGTTTGGGACATAGTGATTTGTTTCTTTTTAGGTAGTAGCTGTGTTAATGGGTCAAAAATTGGTCAGTCCAAACTGAACATGTTTATTGAAACTTTGATATTGAAAATGTAAGATGAGTGTAGTTCACTTCTCAATCAAGGTTTTGGAGTTTTTTCATGGATTCAAAATCATATTGAATGATAGTTCTGTTTGGCAAGTTTACTTGGAACTCTGAGTATCATTGCTTTTGTTCTTGTATCGTTCAGGATTACATGGAAGACTATGAGGTAATGGTTCCTTTCCAGTCCCTTCAAGCTCTTGACTGCCATGTTGATGCTGTTTGCCCCAAGAAGAGGGCAGGTGACAAATGCCCAACAGCTGTCCATGATTTTGAAGGTGATCAAACATACAGTGAGAAGCCTGGCCATGATTTCACCCTCACAGCTAGCTTTGAAGGTTTGGATGCTTCAAGCTATGACGCTCTCGTGATCCCTGGAGGCCGAGCTCCAGAATACCTAGCACTGGATGGGAATGTTATCAAATTGGTGAGGGATTTCATGGAGTCTAAAAAGCCAGTAGCATCCATTTGCCATGGGCAGCAGATTTTGGCTGCAGCTGGTGTTCTCAAGGTAGTTTTTTAGCAATATATTGTAACTTGCAAATTTCTTATTTCAGCCTATTTTTCTGGTGCATCCTGGTTTAGTTCTTTGCTTCTTAGTTACCCAAGTATTCTCATTATTTCTTTTGGTGACTTATGAAGTCAATATTTTCAAATATTTTATGTTGTGTGACTGATCTGAGCATGTAGTAATGACACTTTTTGAAAAATCACGAGAACTAGTCAGGGTTATTTTGAGGCGGCCTTACATTTTTTTTGTGTTATCCCTATTCCCTTACATGAGAATGATACATTGTTCAGATTCAGAACAATGTCATGGTTGTTAGTGATCCTTGGTGCTTACTCAGTGACATATGGAATATCAATTTTGAAACTTAAATAGAAGTTGTCTCCTGGTTCAGCTGTTAAGGCAATGTTAGTGGTAACACCACACGCTTAGGCTGAGGCCACTAAAGAGTTTGGACTCCTCCCATTTCCTGTTCTTTGTTTGCCTTGTCATAGAAAGATAAGAAACTATGTAGCCAACTGGGTCCCCTTCGAATAATTTATGCTCCTCCTCCTCCTCTCTTAATTTCTTGGAATGATAAGCATGGAGAAAGTTCTAGAATCATGTGGGGTTATCAATTAATTACAATGTTTGAAAATCCAGTTCAGCAATAACCTTGTGGTGGATTTTCCACCTTTACCAGTTCCTTGTCATATATATGCTTGTGAGGACATGCTTTTGGTTTCACGTTGATTTGATTATTTGAGTATCGTATGGATGATATTTTAAGACAAAGTCCGATGAGGCAATTAACGTTTCCAAAATCTATGCCACGGGGAACATTAAAATGTTACATCAATACTGCCACATCTTTCATGCTTTATAAATGTGTTGTTTTTGCTGGTGACTATGAAAAATAAATTCCCTGCCTGTTTTCTGTTCCATTTAATAATTTTGGTGGTCGATGTAATTGTAGGGAAGGAAATGCACTGCGTACCCTGCTGTTAAACTCCATGTGGTTTTATCTGGAGCAACATGGTTGGAACCCNGCTGGTGACTATGAAAAATAAATTCCCTGCCTGTTTTCTGTTCCATTTAATAATTTTTGGTGGTCGATGTAATTGTAGGGAAGGAAATGCACTGCGTACCCTGCTGTTAAACTCCATGTGGTTTTATCCGGAGCAACATGGTTGGAACCCGACCCAATACATAGATGCTTCACCGATGGGAATCTGGTGACTGGAGCAGCTTGGCCCGGTCATCCCGAGTTCATCTCTCAGTTTATGGAGCTGCTTGGTGTTCGGGTTTTGTTCTAGTTGTGTACCATCCTTTGCTGTTTGTATGCAATACAGTGTCTCATAGGAACAATGTACAATGCTTGTTCAAATGACTTTCCTTATGTACCTGTGAGACTAATGGATCTTGTGTATACGNCAATACATAGATGCTTCACCGATGGGAATCTGGTGACTGGAGCAGCTTGGCCCGGTCATCCCGAGTTCATCTCTCAGTTTATGGAGCTGCTTGGTGTGCGGGTTTTGTTCTAGTTGTGTACCATCCTTTGCTGTTTGTATGCAAAACAGTGTATCATAGGAACAATGTACAATGCTTGTTCAAATGACTTTCCTTATGTACCTGTGAGACTAATGGATCTTGTGTATACGGTGCCTTCGCACTATAAGTAAATACTGGAATAATCCTTCAATATGCAATTTGAGCTCTCTTTGGTTATCATTTAATTTTGTCACTTGAATCCTCTTAATTTTCAATTAATGGTACTTTAGTCCAATAAAAACGACTCCGTTAATTGACACAATGAAAATAGTCGTGTGTGTTACATGACTACACTCAATGGAGCATTCTTTGGAGACGGGCAGATTAATGTAACAATTGAAAGATCGAGAATAGAGTGAAACAATTATAAATTTGAATAATGAAAATGTCTCTTTAAATGTAGTCACTTTTGTTGGTCAATTTGGCTACGTGGTCTTCGAGAAAAAAAAATGTGGATACATCCTTTAATTTTTGAAAAGAAATGGTCAAAAGGAAAATGGCACCACCCTAAACCGTTATATGCTAAACAAGGCCAAAGAAAAAGGACCATTTACAAAAATTAGGTATCGATGCAAATAATGGTACCGTAAGGTAATTGTTTAGTATAATATTTTTATAAAAGGAAATGTGATGCGTATAAATTTTTATTTTTTATTCTATTCTATTTTGTTATTTTTTATATCAATGACTACAAATATATCAAACGAAGATTTACTATTTTTAATTACTTTTGATATTGTACCAATTTTTTTTTTGGAAGTACTACAGCTATATCCCAAAGGTACTTTCTTTTTTTTTTTAGATTAATTTTATTGAGTTGTAATTTAATTTATTTAAAATGTAATTTGATTTGATCGAATTGTTACTTTTAGTACGGTGGTNGTAATTTAATTTATTTAAAATGTAATTTGATTTGATCGAATTGTTACTTTTAGTACGGTGGTAAAAAAAAAAGTAGAAATAATCAATACAAAAACAAAGCGAAACATAAAAACAGCTGAACATAAAAATAGTAATACAACAATCTATACACACGATCATTAAAATTAGATACGCCACACCAAATGCAATCAACAAACCTAATTGTGGGTTAATGTTTCATGTCTCCATTGAGGGTTTGGTAAGCGAAAAGCACCGTATTCGCACCATATCGTCATTTTTCGACTAAAAAAATTTAAAATAAAAAATAGAGAATTACATCTAGATCTTTGAAGTTTATCATGTAATCACTCAGATCCTCTGATAGTTGAAATATTATACACAGATCTCCTGAAATTTGTATGCATGTAACACGTAAACTCTTGTCGTTAATGTCCGTTAGTAAATTACATTCAGACATCTTGAAGTTTGTAAACGTATAATAGTTAAACACCTATATTTAGACAACAAATACTATAATCAAAGAAATTTTATAACCAAAATTCATATTCTATTGTATTATTTATTGAAATAAAATAAAAAATATAAATTTAATTTTTCTTAAAAAATTATAATTAATATATAATTTATACTATCTATTAGAATAATTTAGTAACGAACGTTGACAACTTTAAGAGATTTGTATATAATATTTTAAATATTAAGAAGTTTAAACGATTAAATGACAAATTTCAGAGAATTTAAATATAATTTTTTTAATAAAAAAATGTTGATTAAATTGTTTTATGGTACTCTTATTTTTTAAATTTTTTATTTTTTGATACCTTAAACTTATCTTCAATCGTGCTNGGTTTGGTTAGCGAAAAGCACCGTATTCACACCATATCATCATTTTTCGACTAAAAAAATTTAAAATAAAAAATAGAGAATTACATCTAGATCTTTGAAGTTTATCATGTAATCACTCAAATCCTCTGATATTTGAAATATTATACACAGATCTCCTTAAATTTGTATGCATATAACAAGTAAACTCTTGTCGTTAATGTCCGTTAGTAAATTACATTCAGACCTTTTGAAGTTTGTAAACGTATAATAGTTAGACATTTCAAGTTTAAAATGTTATATTTAGATAAAAAAATATTATAATTAAATATATAATATCAAATATATCAAATATTTTAAATTTTATAACTAAAATTCATGTTCTATTATATTATTTATTGAAATAAAATAAAAAATAAAAAATTAATTTTTTTAAAAAAATTGTAATTAATATATAATTTATACTATCTATTAGAATAATTTACTAACAAACATTGACAACTTTAAGGGATTTGTATATAATATTTTAAATATTAAGAAGTTTGAACGATTAAATGGCAAATTTCAGAGAATTTAAATGTAATTTTTTTAATAAAAAAATGTTGATTAAATTGTTATATGGTATTCTTATTTTTTTATATATATTTTTTTTGATACCTTAAACTTATCCTTCAATTGTGCACCTGCACCGAAAGGGACTTGTTCTGTCATGTCATTGCCCAACCAGAACAATGCAAGGGACGTTTCGTGGGCCATGCTTTACCCCATCTGGCAACCATGCCACTTTTTTTTATTCTCTCACCTCTTTTCTTGTCCATGTTATTCTTTTTATAATACATACATTATTATATGAGCAATGCTGTACACACTTTTTTTTTGGGGCATAATTTCATATAATTATGAATTTTAATATTAAATAAAATTAATTTTTAATTCAATAATTATATTAAATTATATTTTTAAATTAAACTCAAATCACATTTTTCTTATTATATATATGGCCATCTTGACCATTATTATTGTTGTTTTTTTTTTTATCATTAAAAGACCATTATTATGCAAAGCCAATAACCCATGTTGTTGTTAATAATAATTTGTTGAAAAAATTATCCATAAGTATTTTTTTTCAACTATTAATTAAGTCCTATCATTTTTGTTTTATATCAATAAAATTTTATTTTTATTATTTTATTTTAATCAAGTTCTAATGTCATTGTATTTCAATTTTACCCATAATTTTTAGTTATCGAACCCTTTCATTCTTTCTAATATGTCACAACTCCGGCAATACACTTTAGGTGGGTCTTTTCAATTTCTATTTGTTTCCTTTGCTCAACAACGGTGACTTTTTTATATTTTTTTGCAGAGATTATGCATTGAATTTTTTTTTTTTTCCCTTTTGTTATCACTTTTTTCTCTTTGAAAAATTGTTAAAGCTAAGAAATATATCATTATTGTGCAGCAACTATCATTCAACTCAATTTTAAGTTTTTTTTAGAGTGGATCAATTGTCATCTCTTTTTTATGAGTTAATTTACTTATTTTTTTTTTAGAAATAATGTGGAGTTTTTATTGAAATTACTGTAAAGACATATGAATGTTCAATTTTTGTTTAGGTAAAAATATTCACTGAAATCGCGATTCTAGTTGCACAAAGTATTACAGTTCTCATTGTGAAACACTTTCCCATTTGGGAAAATATATACATAAGGTCCAAAGTCGTCTATTACATAATAGAATTGGAAAAAATTTAGTATTTATGGAATTTCGGACTTCATTCAAATAAATTAGCAAGAGTAAGATATCATTGATATAAAACAAAAATAATATGACTTAATGGATATTTGGGAGAAAAAGTAATACTTATTAATAATTTTTTCTAATTTATTTTATTATTAACATTATATTTAAAATTAAGAAATTCAAAAACAACTAAACAAGTCATCTCATGCAAATAAATAAAAAATGTCCAAAAAAAAACTTTATTAGAAATTGATCCAGTGAAAACACTTCTACTTAAGTTTTAACTTTTTAAATTTATTCAGACTAATACAAATATTATTAACAAAAATACGTAGCTAATTTTTCATTGAAAAAATATAAAACTAAAATAAGATATATGACAACGAGTTTTGGACTAATTTAGAATAAAGGATATAGCATAAAATTTAATTATCTTAATAACAATTTAATAGAAATTAATGGTGGTGGATGATTTGAGGGAGTTTAAGGCAAGGGTCGACACTCCTCTAATTGACAAATATTTAGAATGATTGCAAATCTATCGAGATATTAATGAACAACTTTTTTCAACTTATATTTAAGCTCATCCGTATTACTTTAGTATAAAAAAAAAAGAAACGAGCGAATTCAAACCCAAAGTTAGACCGGTTTGATTAACCCGATTTGATTACTTTATTTATTTTTAAAAATTTTACCGATATGGTATAGATCTTTGCAGCTCGTACCTTCCTGAGTTGCGTGATTTTAATTACGTACAGCTGTTTGTTGGGAGTGAACAAACTTAGGATTTATTAATTTTTTTTTTTTTGTCCTAAAATTCAACGACAGATAAGTCTTGGACGGCACAACATATCTTAGTAGAATGGTACTCACAGGTCTGTTTCATGTCGGGTAAAGACTCACTCTCTCTCTCTCTCTCTCTCTCACTCTCTCTTATGTGGATGGATAAGTATTGGGTAAGGTATGTGGAGATGCTTGAATTTGAGTGGAGGATGCTGACTCAGTACTCATCCCATGCCATTATAATCTGCCACGTCTCACTCTACAATCAATAGACATATAGCTTATAAGAGTAAATCCTGAGATAAAAAAAAATTTATTTTTAATTTAATATTTAAATTAATTTACTTGTATTTTAATTAATTTTCTCTCTCATCTGATCTATTTTCAATTTATTTATGATTGTGAGTCCATTAATTCACTTATTCAAATCGAATTTGATCTTAATTTTGTAATAAATTCCAACTCAAAGATAAAATTCATGAAAGACTGAGAGTTTTTAAACTGAATTTGACTTTGATTCAAATCCGTGGACCCACATTCATAGGTTGATAGGGACAGAGGTGGGAATGGGGTAATAAGGGGGGACAAATATGGCAACTGGATAACAGCGAATCTCACATGTCCATGTCCGTTAGATGGATAGATAGATCATAGATGTATGACTGTCATTATTTTGTGCAGGTATACACCACTCTACCTTATCTCCTCTCCCCTATCTTTTTGCTTCCATGTCTTCCAGACAATCTTTCAAACTTCCAACCAAGGTATATATCCAGAAAAACAAATGAACCCAAATTTTGCCCGAGTCCATTGAGGTCAGAGAAATCAAGAACCTATATATATATATATATAACTGCATGGTAAAGTACTGGTGGGTGGGATTGAAACTGAGAGTTGGAGAGTATTTGGAAAGTCAGAGAGAGAATAATGGGTTCTTCTTCTTTCAACCAACAAAGCAACCATGGGACTATGGATGATCAAGGTCTACTGGAATATTCAATCTCATCATCTTCTGAAGTTTCGAGTCTTGGGTCTGACTCTGAGTCCATGGAAGAAGTAGCCTCTTCTGCTTCTGAGTTGTCGTCTTCTTCTTCTTCACCCACATCACCATCCTCTGGTTCTGCTTCATCATCTGGCCAACTTTCAGGTTCTGGAGCTCTGGGGGACATGTCTTCTCTCCTCCAACAACTTCCCTTCAAGTAAGCCCCTAGTCTTAATTACTTGCTATATATTTAGAACATAGAATGATGATCCAAGATGTTGCTATTTAGAACATAGAATGATGATCCATAGAAACAATATAAATCAATGTACACCCCAAAAATTCTCAGTTCTTCTTTACGATATAAATCCCATGAGTATATTGTAACCTGAACCATGTATCTATGACATGCAATTCCTTGATTTATATGGAGATTATATCTTGTATTTTCGGCTTTATTATAGGAGAGGGCTGTCAAAGCATTACCATGGGAAGTCACAATCATTCGCATGTTTATCAAATGTGAGGTGCTTGGAAGACCTAGCAAAGCCAGAGAACCCTTACAAGAAGAAGCTAAAGTCATGCAAGAGCTACGGTGGATTATTATCATCTACAGAAAGCCATAGATCAAACCACCTTTCCAAAAGTAGCACTTCTTCAAGGCTCATCTGCAAGAAGCCTTCAAGAGGGTCTTGTTCTTCACTTGGTGGCAAGAGGGTTGGGAATGGCTGCTTTCCAGGCAATAGGCCTCCTATTGCTCCTCCTCCTCCTCATAGATCTACCACCACCAGTAGCTTTTCTAATCAAACCCCTTTGTTTGCTTGAAGAAAATGAGGCACTTAGGCTAACAGAAATTGTAAAACTTTGTGACTTCATTATGCTGTATATCGCATGATTCACTTAACATGTTTGATGAACTTTAAAGCATGTAGCAATCAACGCTGCTAAATGATCTTAGGTTGATTGAACTTGGCTCGGTTTTGGTTCATTAAGAATCGTTCAAATTACAAGATAAATCAGGTCTAATCAGATTTTTAAATGTATGTTATAAGTCAGTCAAATTTGAGAGATATTTGGATTGGTTCTACCAGGGGGTCTTGTTCACTGCTTGGTGCAAAGAAGGTTGGCAGCTCTGTCCTCCTCTTCTTCCTCCTCGTAGATCTACAAGCACAATTAGCTAATAGTAGCTTCTGCAACTTACCAAATGGTTTCTTCAAACTTCTCAAAGATAAGTTAACATACCGAAAGCGATTAAGTGACCCATCTAAATGGGTTACTCACTCTAATTAGTAATAAGTTTTGTATTGATATTTTCAACTCAATGATTGATTAACTCCTATATCCTAGCGGGAATTAGAGATCGGACTTATAGCTCTCTCTCCATACCCCCCAAAAGTGTAGGGAGAGAACAAAAGAGAGTGATCGAATGACTCAAGTAATCCATCTTGTAATATCTTTTCTTTCTCTGTTAACTCTCTCTTAAGTGAGTGAATTGACCCCGTTACAATGGAGCATTTACACTAACAAGAAACGAGGAGTTGTTGTCAACCATCCCACCATTTCTGAGTTTAGGGTATGCAAGATGTATGAAGTTTCATCGGCAATCCGGTTCTATGTAGGTGGGTCGATCCCTTCTCAAAGAAAACAATCTGTTTATCAAATGGTTTCTTCAAACTTTACAAAGAGAGCATAGAATAATTAATGAAAACTTTTGGGGATAATTCAGACCGATCTCATATAGCTTTGATACATGTTTCTCAAGCGAACTAAGGGTGGAAATGTGATAACTGATAATAGCTTAGTACTGTTGATGGGATCGAAAAGTAGACGTGGTGGCGGTAGTTATTAGGGTTTGATTTTAGAGATTTAGGTTTGGGTTTCGATGGTGGTGGTGGTGATGGAGGAGGAGGGAGGCTAGGGGGAGAGAGAGAGGAAGTGACTGTGGTGCGTGATGGGGTTGCTGCATTGTAGTGGCGGTGGAGTGAGGTTAAGGTTTGTTAGGCCTTTGACTATGGACTATGTGACAGCTACTGAGTTTGTTAAAGCTGGTCCATTCACGGATGATGTTGGCGTTTAGTTAACTACCTATTTGGACTTTTGATTTTTAATATTTGGCTTTTGACGTGAATTTAGATTTAGATTTGAATTTTATTCTGATGACTTCAACAATGATTTTGATTTCCGAATTTCAATTGCGATTTGGATCCAAATGTGGTGGCAATTGTTATTAGTAGTGGTGTGGGTTTGAATATGGCGTTTTTGGTTTGAATTTGATCATTTTGATTGAATTGTGATTGTGGTGGTTGTGCACATTGGGGGTGGTTGGTGGGTAGCGAGGTAGTTACTTAGTGTTGTGATGCACTGTGCAGTGGTCCTTTTACAAGTGGTGGCGGTGATGCAGTGGTTGAAGTGAAGGTAGGAAACTGAGGGTGGTGGTGCTGCTGCTGCTGGCAGTTTAGAGAAGAAGAATGAGAGTGAGTGTGGTATATTAGTAAATATTCGGTGTAACGTTTATATTACGTCAGTATTGTCACGTGATGTAACCGTCCAATATTACCTTACCAAATAAACAAGATGACCCCACTTTTTGTTGGCATCCACTTTTCTTATTTAACGAGTTAAACTTTGAACGGTTATACTACATTGTAATACTGACATGGTATAACTGTTACACCTAATATTTACTCGTGGTCTATCGGAGGAGTGGTAATATGTAGGATAATTGTTAGAGAAAAGGAGAAAGGAGAGGAGTATTTAGAGTCATTTTAATTATGTCATTAACGATGCTATATTTGGACTAAAAAACCACTTGAGAAATATGTGAGNTTTTGAAAAGAAATGGTCAAAAGGAAAATGGCACCACCCTAAACCGTTATATGCTAAACAAGGCCAAAGAAAAAGGACCATTTACAAAAATTAGGTATCGATGCAAATAATGGTACCGTAAGGTAATTGTTTAGTATAATATTTTTATAAAAGGAAATGTGATGCGTATAAATTTTTATTTTTTATTCTATTCTATTTTGTTATTTTTTATATCAATGACTACAAATATATCAAACGAAGATTTACTATTTTTAATTACTTTTGATATTGTACCAATTTTTTTTTTGGAAGTACTACAGCTATATCCCAAAGGTACTTTCTTTTTTTTTTTAGATTAATTTTATTGAGTTGTAATTTAATTTATTTAAAATGTAATTTGATTTGATCGAATTGTTACTTTTAGTACGGTGGTAAAAAAAAAAGTAGAAATAATCAATACAAAAACAAAGCGAAACATAAAAACAGCTGAACATAAAAATAGTAATACAACAATCTATACACACGATCATTAAAATTAGATACGCCACACCAAATGCAATCAACAAACCTAATTGTGGGTTAATGTTTCATGTCTCCATTGAGGGTTTGGTAAGCGAAAAGCACCGTATTCGCACCATATCGTCATTTTTCGACTAAAAAAATTTAAAATAAAAAATAGAGAATTACATCTAGATCTTTGAAGTTTATCATGTAATCACTCAGATCCTCTGATAGTTGAAATATTATACACAGATCTCCTGAAATTTGTATGCATGTAACACGTAAACTCTTGTCGTTAATGTCCGTTAGTAAATTACATTCAGACATCTTGAAGTTTGTAAACGTATAATAGTTAAACACCTATATTTAGACAACAAATACTATAATCAAAGAAATTTTATAACCAAAATTCATATTCTATTGTATTATTTATTGAAATAAAATAAAAAATATAAATTTAATTTTTCTTAAAAAATTATAATTAATATATAATTTATACTATCTATTAGAATAATTTAGTAACGAACGTTGACAACTTTAAGAGATTTGTATATAATATTTTAAATATTAAGAAGTTTAAACGATTAAATGACAAATTTCAGAGAATTTAAATATAATTTTTTTAATAAAAAAATGTTGATTAAATTGTTTTATGGTACTCTTATTTTTTAAATTTTTTATTTTTTGATACCTTAAACTTATCTTCAATCGTGCTACCTGCACCGAAAGGGACTTGTTCTGTCATGTCATTGCCCAACCAGAACAATGCAAGGGACGTTTCGTGGGCCATGCTTTACCCCATCTGGCAACCATGCCACTTTTTTTTATTCTCTCACCTCTTTTCTTGTCCATGTTATTCTTTTTATAATACATACATTATTATATGAGCAATGCTGTACACACGTTTCTTTTGGGGCATAATTTCATATAATTATAATTTTAATATTAAATAAAATTAATTTTTAATTCAATGATTATATTAAATTAGATTTTTAAATTAAACTCAAATCACATTTTTCTTATTATATATATGGCCACCTTGACCATTATTATTGTTGTTTTTTTTTTATCATTAAAAGACCATTATTATGCAAAGCCAATAACCCATGTTGTTGTTAATAATAATTTGTTGAAAAAATTATCCATAAGTATTTTTTTTCAACTATTAATTAAGTCCTATCATTTTTGTTTTATATCAATAAATTTTTATTTTTATTATTTTATTTTAATCAAGTTCTAATGTCATTGTATTTCAATTTTACCCATAATTTTTAGTTACCGAACCCTTTCATTCTTTCTAATATGTCACAACTCCGGCAATACACTTTAGGTGGGTCTTTTCAATTTCTATTTGTTTCCTTTGCTCAACAACGGTGACTTTTTTATATTTTTTTGCAGAGATTATGCATTGAATTTTTTTTTTCCCTTTTGTTATCACTTTTTTCTCTTTGAAAAATTGTTAAAGCTAAGAAATATACCATTATTGTGCAGCAACTATTATTCAACTCAATTTTAAGTTTTTTTTAGAGTGGATCAATTGTCATCTCTTTTTTATGAGTTAATTTACTTATTTTTTTTTAAGAAATAATGTGGAGTTTTTATTGAAATTACTGTAAAGACATATGAATGTTCAATTTTTGTTTAGGTAAAAATATTCACTGAAATCGCGATTCTAGTTGCACAAAGTATTACAGTTCTCATTGTGAAACACTTTCCCATTTGGGAAAATATATACATAAGGTCCAAAGTCGTCTATTACATAATAGAATTGGAAAAAATTTAGTATTTATGGAATTTCGGACTTCATTCAAATAAATTAGCAAGAGTAAGATATCATTGATATAAAACAAAAATAATATGACTTAATGGATATTTGGGAGAAAAAGTAATACTTATTAATAATTTTTTCTAATTTATTTTATTATTAACATTATATTTAAAATTAAGAAATTCAAAAACAACTAAACAAGTCATCTCATGCAAATAAATAAAAAATGTCCAAAAAAAAACTTTATTAGAAATTGATCCAGTGAAAACACTTCTACTTAAGTTTTAACTTTTTAAATTTATTCAGACTAATACAAATATTATTAACAAAAATACGTAGCTAATTTTTCATTGAAAAAATATAAAACTAAAATAAGATATATGACAACGAGTTTTGGACTAATTTAGAATAAAGGATATAGCATAAAATTTAATTATCTTAATAACAATTTAATAGAAATTAATGGTGGTGGATGATTTGAGGGAGTTTAAGGCAAGGGTCGACACTCCTCTAATTGACAAATATTTAGAATGATTGCAAATCTATCGAGATATTAATGAACAACTTTTTTCAACTTATATTTAAGCTCATCCGTATTACTTTAGTATAAAAAAAAAANTGTCATTTTAATATTTGTGTCATATTTTGAATTACCCATTTGTGAAAGATATGAAAGTTTCATTTATTTTATCAAATATTATGATTTGAATAATACAAAAAAATGAGTTTTGGGACAATAATTTTTTTTTTA